TGAGAATCTTGGTAGAACGGACTCCCCAGGATTGATGGTTCGGACGTTTTTGCCGCCGAAGTGGACTCGTACTTGGCCAGGACAGTTCATGTTTGTGAAGATCAACCGCGGCACTAGGTACAAGATTTTCGTACTGGTTATCGGAAAAGAAGTCGGAAACAACCTTACATCCTCTGCGGAGATTAAGAAGTTCGACAAAGAAGGGATTTTGTATTGATGGACAGGCTGTTGCAAGGGAATTGCGTGTTTTTCGGTCTTTTTGTATTTCAGTTTGTACGGGAGTCTTCGTCTTGCTTCGATGTTCCTTTGGATGCCAGCACGCAGAGCATCTAGCATTTGCTCTTGTCTTCTGCCCAGCATGTTGGAAGTGGCGGACGACTTCCTGTCGCCAGAAGAACCACTCGATGCAAAAAAGTCTGCTAGAGACACTTCTTCAGTGACGACGACTCGTCTGATACTCTTTGTTCCTGCATGGTGGTGGCCTACTTGACCCGCATGGTCCTTGGTGTGTTGACCTGGACCACCATTACCTTGATCTTCTACTTCCTCCACCACAACGAATCGCTTCACTTTCGGAGGTGGTAGGTCTTTGTTCTTTGGCAGCAATTTCAGAAACGCATATTTGGCACCCAGCACTGTGCGGGACTCTAAAGGAGGTACAGCAGGATTCAGAATCGAAGTATCCCAATCGCGTGCTTGAGATCTCAGCAGCTTTTCCGTTTGTGGATCAAGGACTTCTGTGTGAGATAATTCTCTCGACTCAAGAAGACCAGCACTTGTTTGCAGTTCACTTTGTACTTGTGGTTCTGTTGCGAGCAGACGGACTTTCTTGCTTCCATTCGCGGTTGAAGCACTCACTTGTTCGACGTCGTCCGCTGGCGTCAGTAGACCCGCTGTTTCGTCTGCAGTTACTTCGTCTTGGTCTTCGTCGGAAGTGGCATCAACATCTTCACCTTGAGACTTTCTTACGCTACTAATTGTGCTTCTACGACCTCCTCGTCCCTTAGAAGTTCTAATGCTCGTATTCGCCACACCAACTCTTGAGTCTACTTCAGCGGCAAAAACTGGGTCTGGAGGCGGGAGATCTGTGTCGTCAAGAGCGGTTCTTCTTGCTGTTTCTCTTGATGCACCAGGCTCAGCTCCGTGATTTCCCGTATTTACATTCACCTCCTCCATATCATTAGCTTTTTTCTTGATGACCCTAACAACCGGTGTAGCTCGCATCTGCAAGGCATCTAAGTCTACAGGTAACAAGGATATCCCGAAATCGAAGATCGGAACTTTAACACCAGCATCGTCGCCACCCACACCTCCAGCGTGGAGGTGGAAACTCAGATACGCTAGTGCTTCCTCCGCAGGGACGCGGTTGACGAACCAGTTGTCGGAGGAAAATCGTAGCACATTGGCGGTTCGCTGTAGCAATGGGGTGCAGTAAGAAGTGGTTCCTAGATTTGACCACAGAGCTTTGTTTTTAGCCCGTCCGCTCACAGCACGACGCACTTCTTGCTCTGAGTTGAAAGCGAGTAGGTCAAAATAAAACCTCTCTGGATTCACTCCAGCCGAAAGGTTCTGATTCTCCATTTTGCTCAACTCTAGGAAGTAACAAAACTTCAGTTTGAAGATGTCACGTTCACGTTCTCGGACCTTCCTTTGAGCTTCGATTGCTTCTTGTTGACGTAGCAGTGCCTCTAGCGCTGCTTCTGCAGCGCGTTCCTGACCTTGTTCTTGATGCTGTCTATGTTCCCCACGAGTGGACGTAGTTGTCGTCCACTGATATGGCCCAAAGGCGAAATTGAATCTTAGTTGATCTCGTCCGAGTCCTTGATGTGGGCTTTGTCCACCAAGATTAGTATTGAGGACGAGAGTCCAGGTGCTGCCAATCAGAGCGAGAGTTTATTTTGCTAGCGGGTTAGCCATCCAGACTAGCCCACTAGCGGCATCGAATCGCACGAAGATGAATATCAAATGACCATTTGAGATAGAATCTGAAGGAAGATAGGCTGTGCGTTCGACGCCGCTAGGGGCGAGTGTGAATGGATTACCAGAAAGAAGGGAGGGAGGGAGTGGAAAAAGAGAAATGAGAAAGATGATTCGATTGTAAACCAAGAGTAGAGAGAGAAAAGATTCGATAGCGATCGCTGAGATTCGATTAAGAACGATTTGATTAGATTCGATTCGTGTACGAATGTACACGCTGCGTGTAGGATGCGCAGCCCCCAAGATCATGAGTAAGTGAAGGAACGACACCGATGCCAGCAAATAAAACTCTCGCCTAAATTAGTTATAGCGAACACCTGCGCTGTTCTAGCATAACTGAAAATAAAAGGACCCGGCGGTCTGCAGATGCGCCGATAAGAGAGAAGAATGAAAANGTGCTGCCAATCAGAGCGAGAGTTTATTTTGCTAGCGGGTTAGCCATCCAGACTAGCCCACTAGCGGCATCGAATCGCACGAAGATGAATATCAAATGACCATTTGAGATAGAATCTGAAGGAAGATAGGCAGGATAAGCCACAGTAAGACAGATTAGCGCGTATGCGGACTCTGATAAAATTTCACGGAAATGTCAAGATCGGCGCAGGACACCACGAAACGGTCCAAAATGACAGCATAGTCAATGATTTTTCCTCCACAACGACCAACCCCGATCTCCAGAGGGATGGCTACTGACGAAATGGATTTAGCGCGAAGATGCTCGGGAATTCTGCGCATAGCACTATCGAAGAACGCAAGCCGGGACACAGCTGTGTCAATGACTGCGACCCCAGGTCGGACGATCGGAGGTCCAGGAAAAAACATAGCATAGATGTTAATGACGCGCCCAATCTGCTCAAAATCGCCAAAGGGCTTGAGGCCTGGAGCTTCACGATAGCGAGAAGCATACGGGTGACTGCGGAAAATGGCTTTTGCAACGCCTTTGGGTTCCACGGCTTTGCAGCAACAGACGTGGATGATGGCGTCTTCTCGAGCATTTCCAATGTCATCGATTACTACCGCATCAATAAGATGCGCGGTTACACGAAACCTGGCACTACGCACCAGAAGCTGCATTTGCGGGAGCAGAGAGAGCTGAGGAGAAGCGGCAGAGGGCCAGATATCTACCGGAACGGAGGCGTAAACATGATATTCGGAATCAGCCAAAAAGGCTGTGGTACCGTTGCCGACGCGGAAGATGGCTGTGCCTTGCTTCAGCTTCGAGACCCTAGTGAACTGACTGCACAACGGCATGAATTGGCCGCCGAGTAAAGGCACAAGGACCGCGAACCGAGGCCTGCGAGAAAGCGGCACGTTGGTAACCAGTTTGTCCAAAAACTTCAAAACCGGTAAGAGGAGGTTGGTCGGAGGGAACCACCAAACGCGATGGAGCAACAAATGGTCGATGTTCTGGAAAGGCGGATTCCGGATTGAAAAGGAAAACTCGAGGTTCGGCGAGGAAGGCATATCGTCAGATGCCATGGCTACGGTGTCAAACCCGGGTAGTCTATCGAGAATCTGCAACCAAGAACGTTTGCACAAATGCCTCTCCGGAAAGGGGTCGGTCATAGAGTTGATAACATCGTCGAAACGGGACAAGGCATCAGCGATAGGGTTCTCAGCGCCGAAGATCTTGCCCGCGACAATCTCGCAACAATTGTGAACTGCAAAATCCCGAATGAGGAAAGAGGCCTCCGACATGCTAGGAGATGAGAAAGCGCCTTTGTTGCACGCCTTTTTGGCCGACGGATTGTCCGTGTAGTACATGATTATCTTGCCGGACACTGAACCCCCGAATTTGATGTAGGCTTCTAAGAGAAGGATAGGGGTGACCGACTCTTTGACGTTGATGTTGGAGTCATTCCATTTGCGAGGGAAAAGGCCCTGGAACCTGATGCCGTTGACTGTACCGCCCCATCCCGTTCCGATGGAAGTGGCGGCATCGCCGTGCACAACTACACACAAAGAACTCGGGAGCGACCGAGTGAAGTGACCACCAAAAGTGAGAACCTCTTCGCGCCACAAGAAGCACCTGTTTCCGTTGTAAAACAGGGGCGCGGCCGGGTTGCTCGCAAGAGTCGCCCGCCACCAACAGATCTCGGCGATGCACTCCTTCGTAAGTACCACAGAAGGGTTGAAACGATTGTTCTTCTGCCACTGCCTGGGAGCATCGGCTGCCATTATCACAGATTGCATGGCACACAGTGGTCCTCGATTGACTACAAAGGAGCAAGAACCACATTTGCCCTTGACAGATGCGAGATCTTTGACACGGCAACGCCCATATTGCTCGTAGTCTGCGAGGAAAGAATCAATAAACTCGATGTAGTCGGTTCTGCGTCGCTCTTCAATGAGAATTCGCATGCCAACAGTGTCGCATTCAAAACCTAGCCACGGGAAATGCTGCGAAGCAGGAATCCTCTTGCCCACTTTATCGTGCAACTTGCAACCCAGCGCAGTCATCAGATAAAATTGTCGCCCCAAATCAATGTCAGTCAGTTCACGAGAAAGACAGTCGTCGCCTGGAAGGACGGAACGAATGTCATCAACATAATCGAACATCCTCGATTTGACGCCCGAATTGGAGCAGACGCGAATGATTTCCTTGACACTTGCGTCGTTTTCTCCCGGCGCCGGGGCAATGCCAAACGGCAGGAATAAGTGCGTTGCTTTCGCAGGAACCGAGGGTAAGTCAAGACCAAAAAATCTTCTATGGGAAGGACTGATCATCCAATGCGGAAAACAATCCTTGAGGTCGATGCCTGAAACAAAGCAGTTTGGCTTCAAAAAACGGAAGAGATCCCACCAAGAAGAATACTCGACCGGCGAGGAAAATAACGACTGATTGAGAAAGCAAGACGACGCGCTCCAGTCGCTGATAAGCCGCACCTTCGTCCCGCCTCTTTGCAAGAGGATGGACGCAGGGGCAATCAAAAGGTTGCCGGGAGGGGGAATATTCTTGGAAGCTGGGAGAAGAGATGAATCGTAAATCATGACTTTCTTCATGTCGACCAAACGCATTACTTCGTTGACAAAAACTTTTTCATGCAAAACAGTACTGTAGTAATTCTCTGTCTGAGTGATAGCAAAATCGTCATCGACAACGTCGAACTTAATTCCACCAAACCAGCGTCTGATAAAATCAGGGGAGATGCCCCAACGTATGCATTCTTCGATAGATAAAGATAAGCCGTCAACTGTGCGACTGTCCTCCAGAAGGCGCCAATCATCCCGAGGTCCATCTTGTTTGTGTAGAAACTGCAAAATTTCGTTGTGAGTCGTAGGTAAACCAGCACTGATGTAATCGTTGATATGGAAATTCGAGCACGGCTCGAGGCCGAGGCTCGCTTCAGAAACCGGACCAAATTGAGAGTCCACCATGTCGCAAAATCGTATGATGTCTAGGCAATCTTACACCTTACCGGTGCGCACGATCGAATACATGCTGCCAAAAATCGCGCGATCAGCAGTGCCACGAGTTATATCAGCCGAAATCGACGGAGCTGCCGCCGAAAGATCAGCAGAGGAAACAAACTCAAAATCCAACTTTGACACCCATGCGGCCATTTTTAAACCATCAATGCCGTCTTTGTTGCAATAGTACTTTTCTAACAGCTCGATAGATTTGATAGTGTTGAGAGAAAAGGAGGCGCGATTTACAATGACGTTGATACGACTAGCCACCTCTTGAATGGTGGGGGGAGCATAAACATCATCCAACATATTTGCGTTCCTCCAACCGCCTTGAAAGAACGCCAATTTGCGCGAAGAGTCCCATTTCGAATAGAAAATGGCGCCTGCTTTTCGCAGGGAAATTCCTCCAACAGTAGAAATTGGCTTCAGGTACCCAATGGCGTCGCTTACTGCCTTGCGGATGAAATCCTTGCCAACAGGGAGTCCACGGGTTGGAATGTTGTTTAAGCCAATCGCGTAGAAAAATGGTTCAGCGGAATTGCACCATGCTTTTTTCATGTAGTATTGGAAGAAGTTGTTGGAGAACCGGAACCACATCCGCAGCAGTTCTTGAAATGCTGCAGGAATAGCGGCTTTATGCCCAGAGGCGAACTTATCATTCTTAGCCGAAGCGACGTAGATGTACAAGATTCCCCCTGAGCCGAACAAATTATTCGCCTTCAAACGTCTCAGCTCGTCGTTGCGACGTACACCGAAAAATCCCAAAACTAGGATTACAGCACGTTGAAGGATGATAGAGGCAGAAAGAAACGACTTGCTGCAAAGCGCCGCCACAGGGAGCGCAATGTTCAGCGCAATACCGTCCTGGGGCATCTTACCTAACTCGGATTTCCACCCAGCGAGGGCGTCGGACGCGAATTGCACTATGTCTCGGAAAACGGGAGTGAATTTTCTTGCGGTGGGGCAGTGGTAGGCCGCTTTCTTGAACCCCATCCAATGCCGTTTGAAACGCAAACCTTTGTCAGCAAGCGTGTATGAGATGTTGCGCGCACTATTGAAAGCGCCGATGGCAGAAGCGATTAACTCATATGTGTTCCATCTGATAGCTCGGCTTCCATCACCAATCGCGTCGGTGAACTCGTACGATGCATGGCAGGAGTGCGATTTCGTGAACACTGTGAAAAATAACAGAGCTTCATCGTCGCAGGTGATTGGCCAAAGCGCAAACTGTAACACGGAACAAATTAACGGAACAATTTTGTTCAAGATGGACTGATAAGTTTTCGCCGAGTTCTCGGCGAGTGAGACTGTTACGTCCTCGTGCGCGGCGTTGATGAGAGTTGTTTTCAAACTGGCCTCGATAGGGAACTGGTTGAATAACGCCTCATCTTTCTTGAAGATTTCCAGATCGAGGGACTCGTTGTTGTCGGATCCGAACTTGAATGGCTTGTACGCCGCGCTGCCGTTGTCGCATTTCCTGCTAGAGAACTCCTTGTGGATAGCACAAAGCTCCGAGACCGAAAGTTTGAGCTCGGCGAGTTCCTTTGCGAACGACTCTGCTGAAGCAACAATGACAAACTCATCTCTGTCTTCGACAGCAGACACGAATTCCGGAGATGACGCTCCTAGCAACTCGTTACTCAGGAGGTCGGGCACGATCGTTCCCATACTACTAGACGAAGACTTCGTGTTTGACGCTTTGTTATCTAGTTCAGCTTCGATTTCGTCGGCAACGACGTTGTCGAACGGGTTGTTGGACGTTGCTAGATTAACATCGACGTTGTTGATGCCGAGGACATCATCCACGGGTGTGACGTTGGAGACACTACTGGTCTTCGCGCGAGCTGCCTCGTCCCTGGCGTGAAGGAAAGGATTCGCCGCCCGAGTGGCGTTACGGATGGGTTCGGATTGTAGCACACGTTGCAACTTGAAGAAACTCATTTTGGACAATTTGTCTCTATTATCGAGTGAGTGACGTATACTACGTGCAATTGTAGATTTTCTAGCATCCAGCCGCTCGATTTTGAAGTGTTTTTGTCTTCGCATACACTCACGCTCAAGCAACACTCGACTCCATACGATCCCACCTTGTTCGGTGACGATTGTTCAACACGTCCGCCTTACTCAATAGACTGACGCCTCGGTGAAACAGGTTCAAACCGTTATAGTAACTTGTTAGCACAATTCGCTTTGTATTGGTGGATTGTCGTGTTGCTTGCACATGCTGGGTACAGATCTAGAGCGAGAATTGCCATGCAGGGGAGAGCTGTGACCAAAATAGGATTGCTGATGCTTTGAGGGTTTTGATATTGGTTCGCATATTGCGTAGTGATCAGGCGACTGCTGGTGATTTCGCATCGGTTCATACAGTACTTGGATTTCAATGAGAGGAGTGCACCATATTAACAAACTATAAATCTGCGTGGTTGCACATGAGAAGCGATGGGTTCAAGTAATGTTACATCTTCAACATCGTGTTGCAATAACGACCGTTAGAATTTGCCCTTTCCGTTCCCTTTGTTCTTGCCTTTGCTGTCCGTTCCCTTGCTTTGGAACTCAGCAATGACACGAGGATCGTCCTTATGCGGGCAGGCGGATTGCCAATGATAAGCCATTTTGCCGAAGTGGTTGTAGCACACTCGACACGAGATGGAACAAGAGTTGCCTGCACGTTCACAGTTGCCGAAACCGTAGTCGTGATTCATGTTACAGCCGGAGCCGTTGAGGAAGCAGTTGCGACACAAGTGATTCTTGGTGAAAAATGCGTAGGTCTCGGTGGTATTGACGGTTAGGGCGTTATTGAAAGCTGCCATTGCGGCTTCCTTTGTGGCTGCGGCACCACGAAGGATGTCGGCAATGCGTTCGGAAGCTGATTTGGAGTTGTAGTTTGAGCCTCCATGATTGTTGTTGTTGCCGCTTCCGCCGCCCCCTGCACCACCAGACGAGTTGCGAGCCTCGAGGCGCTGACGTTTGTTCGAACCACCCCAGCTGCTCTGACTCGCTGGATACGAAGGTAGCGAGGCATCAGCAGCAGAGTTGAAGCCGGCAGGTGCACTTTGCCGCTTTTGAGCGTTCGTACGCGCCAAAGCAAGTTCGTCTTGCGAGATTTCAGCCATCAACGCTTTGAGTACACCCCTGGATTGCATGTTGCGGCAGGCAACAGACGTAACGTGAGGCAAGTATACCAGATTGTAAAATCCTTGGCGAGTTTGATCCATGCGACCACGAAGTTTGATTTGCTTGCCCCATTGCTTGAGCGAGAAGTAGACCAAGTAACACAGATTGGACGTGGACTGCTCAAACGAGGAGGATTTGTTGCTGTTGTTTTTCTTGGTGGTTGATTGTTGCAGGGCGGTTAGATCAAGGTGGTACTTCACCAAAAACAGCGCATGGTTGGCGAGTGTCGAAACTGGTTCTCCAGGAAAGAACGAAATCAATCGATTGAGGTGGTTGCTGCAGTGAAGGAGACTGCCTCCTGCGGATGGTAGCAGCAACTTGCTCCATTTATGATGCTCATTTCCCTTTACGCGAAGTTGATCGGCCGCTTTCTTGAGTGCGCCGCTGTCACCCCCAAAGTTGGTGTGCATCATCAAAATTTCCTGTGAATATAACAGAAGTGTAACTCCGGGAAGAAATAGTAATTTAGTTGGATTTTAGAGGTTTGACCCATAATTCTGAGATTTGTTTTAGTGACTACCTGAGGTGACAGATGCGAAGTTTTGTTTTGGTCGCTGACCGGCGGACGTTTCAGAACTTGATATGCGGCGATCTTCTCAGCGTCGGACATGGCGATATAATCGGCAAACCAAGGAAATTCAGAAACGATGTCCGGGCCCATGGACATGTCACCACTTGCAGCCTGTGGTTCATGTGCACGGAGAGATTAACAGATTTTTGGATTGACCCTTAAATTTACGAAATTTCATGTAGATGTTGACTGCCTTGCATAGATAACGATTAGGTACTGCGAATGCGCTCTCGATGTCCTTCATCCGAGCGGCTTGCTTCTGGTTGTTGCAGCTGACGCAGATGATTCGCGAAGGATCATTAGCCGACATTGAATGGAAGAGATTATTGGCCAGAGGTCCCTGAGTCTTCTTGCATCCCAAGCAGACTCCTTTGTTGCAGCGTTTGTGTGCGCCTCCGGCTGCAGCTGGTGCTTTGACATTGCCGCAAACTGCATGTAGATTCGCAACGGGGTGATCAACGTCGCACTGCATGCAAGTGAAATTCGTCAGGGCTGGAGGCTCTTCTAAAGCGACCACACCGCCCAGTTCGTTCATGTTTTGACACTTGGGGAAATAAGAAAAGATTTCGTTCAAGTTCGATTTGACAATTTGATCTAGATCAGGTTCAGCACCATCAGATTGATTGGAAACAATGGGTTCATGTTCGAGGGGCGAGTCATTCCAATTGTCGTCAAACCACTTATCCCATTCGTCACATGTGTAATGATGATGACTCTCGTCGGCTGTGGATGAAGCCCCAGGACTGTCCTCGAGACTCTTGTTGATTTCAGCTAGGGTTTTCGACATCTTGAAATGTTTTGAATCGAGTTTTACGCTATCACTTGCCTGTGTTAATGGGTTGAGAAGGTCCATGATGTTAGAAATTTTGTGTTGTGAGTTATATGTGCATATACAAACTTGCTTGTTAACGTTGAGTAATTTTAAATTTTATGTCTGGCTTCGATGCATTGAAGTTTCAAAAAAGACAGAAGTTGGGTGCGTCAGAGAGTTGGCGATGCTTGATGTTGATGGTGATAATAACAACAAACAAACCTATTGCATGGAAACTGTGTTCATCGATTGTTCGAGATCGTTTATGTTGTGAGATTGCCACCGTCGCAGTATGGTTTTCCAAATTTAGTCACTGAGTGTTTTATTGGTTGTGGATCAAATTCGTGGGAATTAGCACTAATTCTGGCTCAAGGAGGTTGAGTTCGACGCTTTGTTGCTGATGATGTCTCCTTCGGCCGTGGCACGATTGTTGGTGGATAGGTGAGCGCCGAGGTCCCGAGTTTCATTGACGAA